GTATATATATATATATATATATATATATATATATATATATATATATATGTATATGTATATTGCTTCATATCTGTCTATGTGTAAAGTGTCCATAAAATGATTAGTGTCTGACCTGTTGAAGAGGTTGTTTCTGGAAACCATTCTCAGAAAGCCAGTGGGGTCCGTCACTGAGTTGAGTTTATTATTGAGTTCTTCAAACTGCTGGTCCAGAAGGTCGCCTGCTTCACTCTCCGTCTCGCTGCTGGAACACGCTCTGAAACACGTCAAACACAGTGGAATTCATTCTAGCTATGTTGCCATTACAGGTATTGTAACATTCGGATGTTAGGGTCAGAATTTGGCGTCAACAACATGAAAGCATGGATCCATCCTGTCTTGCACACTTTGGGCCCATTAGTACCTATTGAGTATCGTGTCAACGCCACAGCCTACCTGAGTATTGTTGATGAGCATGTCCATCCCTTTATGAACACAGTGTACCCATCTTCTGATGACAACTTCCAGCAGGATAATGCACTATGTCATAAAGCGCAAATAATCTCAGACTGTTTTCTTGAACATGACATTGAGTTCACTGTACTCAAATGGCCTCCACAGTCACCAGATCTCAATCCAATAGAGCAACTTTGGGATGTGGTGCAACGGGAGATTCGCATCATGGATGTGCAGCCGACAAATCTGCAGCAACTGCATGATGCTATCATGTCAATATGGACCAAAATCCCTGAAGAATATTTCCAGTACCTTCTTGAATCTCTGCCATGAAGGATAAAGACAGTTCTGAAGGCAAAAGTGGGTCCAATCCGGTACTAGTAAGGTGTACCTAATAAAGTGGCCAGTGAGTGCATATATATATATATATATATATATATATATATATATATATAATGCATCTATACATAACAAAGCGTTACATTTAAACTAACTTCAGTGGTGCAACACAAAAGTATTTAGTAGTGTGTAAGTTGTAATTTATGTCACAACTAGGCTATGTTTTTACTTGCGCACTGCTGGTGCAACCGGCCCCTGGTGGGTGAAACTTCAGAGACACATTCTGGAGACACGAATGACTTATTTTACATTTGGTAATTGAAGCTCTTTAAAGCGCAACATCTGCGACATCAAATGTTCCCCAATTCTCAATACTGCTGCCAAACAAACTGGGCTTTATATCCAGACATGTACATGTTTGTTGACTTTTCATCGCCAGCGTCCATTGAGACGCAATGCAAAACAACAGAAATAATTTTATAAACGAGCAAATAACTGGAGTGCAGCGCCAGCCACAATCACTGATAATTACACACAAGTCTCTCAGTGTCTGGGGAAAGTGGAAGCAAATTTCTCTGATTGGCTTTAATGAAAAAACAGATCTCTCCAGCATTCTGACTCATCCGAGACGACACACTTGGATTCTTCTATTGGGTTAATAAGGTTTTATCCACCTCACCTCAATTACACACAAAACGCGTTTCATTTGCGCCTAATGCGCAACGCAGATGCTCCGCTGATTATTTTGGAGGCATTATCACATGCCATTAAAACAAGTCGATATAAAAAGCATTGAATGTTCTTCAGACCTCTGAATAGCTCGTTAGCGTGTTTGCTTAAGCATTTTGTTCTGAAAAGGAACGAGAACGCCTGGTAATCGTGTTCACTAGATTTGCGAAGTATTTTAAGATGAACAGGCACCGACGGTTTGTTCCTTTATCTCGGCTAACATGTTCCGGCGCTCACTCTAGAGACGGAAGCTGTCCCAAATCCTGTTGAAATGTTAATTTAATTCTTTGTCGGGATACGCTTCTCTAGGATGGAAATAATCGCATTTTGGTGCCAACCAGAAATGACAAGCACCAGAAGAGCCCAGAGAGGGATATCTGCTCTTCGTATTTGTGCTTGAAATGAAGGACTGTGACACAGTCGAGGGCTGAGGGGTTGCATTTTTGACCCATCCCGAGTACTCTCGTACATCTGAGCTGTTGTGGATGTGTGAGACAGTATGTGTTACACAGAGGATGCGTGGAAATGAAAACCTATAGAGGTAAATTGTCTAACCTGATCCCCCTGGTTAGCTCGGGTGGCTCAGTTTGATCATGCTTCTAGAGCAGGCATGTCCAAACTCGGTCCTGGAGGGCCGTTGTCCTGCAAAGTTTAGTTCGAACCCCAATCAGACACACCTGAGCCAGCTAATTAAGCTCTTACTAGGAATTCTAGAAACATCCTTGCAGGTGTGTTGAAGCCAATTGGGGATAAAATCTGCAGAACACCAGCCTTCCAGGGTTGGGACTCCCCTGCTCTAGAGTAATCCTGCGTTCACACTAGACACGGAATGCGCATTAAGCGCGAGTGATTTACATGTTAAGTCAATGGAAACGTGCGAATAGACATCCTGCAGCGCAATACGTGCAAATGGCACGAATGATGCTAATTGCACGGCGCAAATTGAACAGTTTGCGCGTTTGACGTGCGCTTTGCGCATTAACCAATCAGGAGCTTGCTCTTGTGGTGGCGTGATTGTGACATACAACTGTTGTTGGTGTCCCGGTAGAAGGCCTCCAGCTGAAACCGACAAAAAGTTTATAAAGCTGGGCTGGGCTCAGTCAGAAGCACCGCTGAAAGCCTCCATCATCCAGGTTCAGTTTTTGGAGGAGTTTATGGGCTCACAGAGCTGGATGCACCTCTGAAAGAACCTAGTGGACTCAGACACGGCCCTAATCGTATCGATGCTGTTTTTCAGCCTTTATAAAGCACATAAACACTTATTTTCTCAATAAAATCCATGTTAGCCATTTAGCTAGGAAGCTAGAGTCACCGAGCAGACAGAAGCCCTGCCCATCACGCTAGTCCGCGTCTGTTCTGAAGTAAATTTGACGCGCGAATGAAGCGGATTTGGCGTGCGAATGAAGCAGGGTTTGACGCGCGCGCGATGCAACAATCATGTATAAATCCTTTTTAAGAGTTGTATGTTTTACATAATCTGCAGGACAGTAACCCAGACCACAAATTTTCCAACCAAAAAAGCACTTAATAAACACTAAATACTGTAGTGACTGTAATTCATTTTGGCAATCTTTAGCAGTGACACTTCCATCTAGCAGGCCCTCATGTATGCCATGATATTGCAGCTCAAACCATCACTGATCTCCCCCCCCCCATGCTACACTGGGCATGCAGCAGTCTGGGTGCTACACTTCTTTGGGTCTTCTCCACACTGTAACTTTCCCAGATGTAAGCTAGCTGTCACTGGGGTTGTGCCTTTTCAAAAGGTACACATTTGTACTTATAGGGTACATATTGGTACCTCAAAAGTATATGATAGTAACGTAAAATCTTACGAGGAACTCTTTAGATTACTTTTTAGGTACTAATACATACCCTTGAGGTATTAATATGGACCTTTTAGGTACAAATGTGTTCCTTTTGAACAGGTACCACCCCAGTGACAGCTCGTGTACCATTATTTCTGAGAGTGTAGGAAACACCATTCATGTCACCAAACAACAGTCTCATTAAAAATCTAGAAGAATCTGCATTAATCACAGAATTATTCTGACGAATCTCCCGAGCAGGGCTCCAGTCAACACTCCCAGATCTGTCTTAACTAAGGGGTGGAAGAGGTCTCGCTAAACGAGGCATAATCGCTCATATTGCAGACGGTCGCGGGTATCACAATTCCTGTTCGTTCTGCACAATGAATGGGGTCTTCAAAGGTGGCATATTGCACCCAACCAAGTGGAAAAGATTGCTCGCAGCCCCTCAGTCAAGCGCTAAATTATCCTTTAATGGGCAGGGATGAGCGCAAATCTCGCTGGGAGAAGCCATCACACCTCTAGTGACTAATGCGCTGGCACTACAGACTCACAGTTTCTTCCGCACGCACGTACAATAATGGCCTTTGTTTCAGGCTGCTGCTTAATTCACACCAAGAGCTTCTGACGCTCTGCCATCCTTCTCTTCGTCTGAATTGTGCTCCTCCAAACCTGCCAGCGTCTTCGGCTAATTATATGTCAGAGTACACCCGACACTGCGGCACTGACTCTTCTCAAAGCATCAGAGAGGAAACCTCCATCTGAGAGGTGAATTACTCCTTAGCTGCCACCCAGTTATAGCTCCACAGAGCCAGGGATCAGTGCGGTGTGGCCTACAGCCTTGCTGTGGCGTATGACAGCATTGCTGAGATCTGCTTCCTGCAGGGCGTGTATGCACACACACATTAGTTTTGGTGATTCAGAAGGATTCTAAGGCATATTGTGTTTTATACAACTAAAAAACACCTTCATTGGAAATGATTGGCTGTCAAGGTCATCACTGTTTACTGAGTACAACCACAGATACAGAGACATGACCAGATCCATCAGGTTATATTAAGGTTGCAGGTACACCTATTAAAATAAAAACAAATTCATTCCTCTATGCTAGTCTGTGGCTAGCGCACTGGGCACGCTGATTTATTTCATTTTGTGATTGAGAAAATCACATTTTTAAATCTTAACTTTCATCACAGGACTGCCAACTAGCAACAATGTAAAATCTACTCTATGCTAGGCTAGCAACAATTCAGCAATTCGCTAGCAATCACCCAAAACTACCTAAAATTATTAGGACAAAAGTCTAGTACACCCTAGCAACCACCCATAGATCTATACACTAGATATCACATAGGGACCCTGAGCATGCGTCAATAGCGCCGCCACATTGGTACAGTGCTCCCAGGACAAATGTCATTCAAGCGCACTAGTCAAGACAGTGTTATTACGTGAAGATGCGGGACTTTAGCGCTGTCTACGGGTGTAGTAACGAGCAAACAAAGAAAACAAAGCACAAAGGCAGAACATTTCATAGGTAATATTAAGTTTTTTTCTGTTTTTGTATGTTCTGAACTTTTGTGCTAATCAGGTCACGTTATTGATGATAACAGTCACTTACTGCATTCACCATACGGCAAAGCAGCTCCAACTCGCACTAAACACTCGGCTTATGCTAGTTTTGTTGAATAAAATCAGCAAACAGTGCAAAAGAACTATGACGAGATGTGGCGCTGCCAGAAACTTGTATTATTGTCGGCTAACGTTAGTGAAAGAGTCGTTCGGGGGATTCATTCACAAACGAATCGCTCCCTCCGTCAGTATGAGAAGTGAAAGCTGGAGAGGAGGTTTTAGGACACGGATTAGACCAAATTTAACAAGGAGGTTGAATAGTACATTTCTGTACACACAAACACAAGCTTTTTGTCAGGAATGCCCGTGCGGTCACCCCCGAGATGAAGAAGGCATGGAGGCGGTGGTTTTTATATTTATGTAGGGTAGAAAATTATATTTTTTGTAATATTTTAATTCTTTTTCATATGTAAAGATATTTGCGTATTGCTGTACATCCTATCTGTATTAAGCAATGTTTAAGCGAGGCGCACAACTAACACACTCTGCGCTGGACTTTAGACCTGCTTTGATCTGGTCTATTGAGCGGTCTATTTTAGTTCCTCATAATAGCAACACGCCAGCAATGCGCCTCAACACGCCTTCTTTTTTTGATCAGAATGCCTATGGGCGCACATAAGAGCGCAAATACATTTGCTATTTAAGCAGCGTGGTGCAAAATGTCAAAACAACTTTTGTGCCGAGCTGAAACTAGCAAACAACAATTGCCTTGCGCCAAATTGCGCCTGATGTATGATGGTATTTATGGGCCCCAAGAGTCAAAATGTCAGTTTATAACACGTTTAAAGTCTTAAGATTCCTTAAACTGTAATAATAATAGTCAGAACATATTTAACTAATTGTTTACAGTAATCACACAAGAATAAACACTCACCTGCTGTAGTATGAGTCCACACCCAGGGCTTCACGCGCATTAGTGATGTGCTGCTCTAGCGACGAGCCTCCACAGCTGCTGGCCGCGGGTGTACAGGCTCCGCCTTCCTGGAAGTCTGAAGCTCCAACCTCCGATGAGCCCTCACCCAGATACACCTCATGAAACTTCAGGATACCTGTGCGGTGGACAGTTAACAGGGTTCATTTTAGACCAATTCAGTATCCTTTATGTCTTACCAAACAAATGAGATCTGGGCGTTTAATTATTAAAAACACACAAATTAAACAGCACAGTAAAACCTAATGTGATGGCTTCGAGAAAATTTGAAACATTCCATCGTGAACAGCTTTCTTTGTTCACTATATATACAGTTGAAGTCAGAATTATAAGCCCCCCTGAATTATTAGACCGCTTGTTTATTTTTATTTTTTCCCCCTAATTTCTCTTTAACAGAGACTTTTTAAACACATTTCTAAACACAAAAGTTTTAATAACTCATTTCTGATAACTGATATATTTTATCTTTGCCATGATGACAGTAAATAATATTTGACTAGATACGCAGGCACATATGCATTTATTTAACACTTGAAACATCTTATTTAGTACATTAATAAACAACATAATGCCCATGAAAAGAAAATAAACTATTGAATTAAAACTTTCCATATTTGAAAATTAGAAATAGGCTATATGAAAACTGTACTACACTGTGTAACGTTCGCTTGCAGAACGTATTTTGGATAAGTGTGTGCGTTCGTTTGTATGTGGGTGTGTCGTTTCATGCATGTGTTACAGGTACGAACGGCATTGGAGGATCCGCATTTCGTGCTGATGACATTGGCCGCTGACGCTGGGTTTGCGCCACCAATCGCTGGTTGGCATAGCGTTTAAAAGCCGAGCCCAAACTGCAATGGCGATCTCTCTCTCTCTGTCTCTCTTTCCTTCTCGCCACTTCTCGCTCTTATTCTTCCTGTGGGTCTCTGTGAGGACAGTCTCTCTTGCAAGGGCTAGTCTGAGAGAATGTGTTTTGCTTGTTTAATGCTCATGTCTAAAGTTTGCGATTTAATAATGCTTGTGAAATTGTCCAGTTAACTGACATGTTTGAGTGATGCCTCGGAGAGGTGTAGGAGTGAGTAAGTCGTGCGATATACATATACAACACTCAGTAATGTTTTGTATTAGTTCACTAGGTTCAGGAGAATGTGCTGTTTTCTGTATGTTTTGTTTTTAGTTAGAGCAATTTAGTTAAGACGTTTGGTACGTTGAAGATGTTTCTTTTCATGCTTTTCTTTTCATATTTAGTTTAGTTTGGTGAAAACAGTTACTGAGTTTTGTTATATGTATTTCTTTGATTTAAGCACATTCAACTACTTCCTCGCCCCCAGGTAATTCATAATTTAATCATTGTAAATATTTTTCTTTCACTGTATAATATATTTTCACTGGTTTCATTGGATGTATGGGCAATAAATAATTGCAGTGATTATTTGGTTTTCAGTTTATTTCTTTCTCCATCCGCTTGTCACACACATTAAACTAATGTATGTTATGTCATCTACTCCTAGTTTAATATTAACATCTAAAAGGACGTAACAACTGTAAAAAAAAAATCCTGGTTGCCTTATTTTTTTAAGCTGAATCAAATTAATCATGAGTTCATTGACCTTATATTATGTTAAACTGACTTAAAACATCTTGCATAACTTATAAAATTAAGGTAGAACATGATTAACTAAGTTCAAATGACCTAAAACATGTGCTGTCGGGATTAACTAATTTCATCATTTTCATATCATTGTAATTAGGTTCCAGTAAGCCCAAATAGCAAAGAGAAATAAAAGAAATGCATGTAAAAAACAGCTTGGGCCTTAAGAGGGTAAAAGTGTTACATTCATTTATTTTCTTGTCGGCTTAGTCCCTTTATTAATCCGGGGTCGCCACAGCGGAATGAACCACCAACTTATCCAGCAAGTTTTTACGCAGCGGATGGCCTTCCAGCCGCAACCCATCTCTGGGAAACATTCACACACACACACTCATACATTACGGACAACTTAGCCTCCCCAATTCACCTGTACCGCATGTCTTTGGACTGTGGGGGAAACCGGAGCACCCGGAGAAATGGCAACTGAGCCGAGGCTCGAACCAGCGACCTTCTTGCTGTGAGGCGAACGTGCTACCCACGTAAAAAGGCTAAAAAAAAAAAAAAAGGCAAGCCAATATCCAAAAGTATTGGAGTGATATAAAAAAGTATATATAAATAAAGCTCATCTTATTGTCTTATTTTTTCTTTCTTTCTTTATTTTTTTAAATCTATTTCTTCTGTCTCGGTTGAGATGTAGTAAAACACCCACAGATCTGGCATGAAGCGTCTGGCTCCAGTGGGCATTTTGTCTCTCACTGGCCATAATTACAGAATAACCTTGAAATGAAAAAAAAAACCTCATAAATGTGAAAATCAGCTGAGAGTTGAAGAAATAGTTTTATAATAAGACATCAAATTCTTTGCTGCAGATTTTCTGGTGATTAGGGAATAACACATATAATGCATAACTATAATACAGCTTATGAAATCACTGTCAAAAGCCAAAATGCTCTAAAATGCACAGATCTAAATCGGCATATCAAAATTAGTATAAAACAAGTAGATTGAAGTCAGCCAATTTAATGCATGTTGGTATTTTTAATAATAATAATGAATCAATAGTAACTATTAACAACAATGCTGCTGGAGATGGTTACAAAACTAATACACCACAAGAACCAACACGTCAAACTGAACCGAAAAAGGTCAGATGTAAAACACAATCATTGAGCAGAGCTCAGCCTAGACCAGACAGTTTCAAACTCCACAGAGCCCCGGTGTTTTAGACATAAAGTACATGCTTTGGGTAATAATGAGTTTAGAATAATGTATAGAGCCACGCAAGAGTCATGAGCAAGGTCATCTGGAATCTAGTTACGTGAATATTGTAAACAAGCGAAAACACTCCCCCTTACAGACGTCCGTCTGATTGCATGAGCGTGTCTATCTTTTACAGACGTCAATTTTGGAATAAATAAATGAGCTTTAGGTCTGGAGAGGTTCAGACGTGTGTGTAATTATGAGTGAGTGCACATCCAGTTTACCTTAATATACAAATAAATAAAATGAAAAATGAACAGGGACTGAATTACAGACTTTGGGCTCTATTTTGACGGTCCATGCGCAGAGCGCAAAACGCAGGGCGCAAACGCTTTCAGGGCGTGTCAGAACGCGTTTTTGCTAATTTAAGGACGGGAAATCTGCCTTGCGCCGTGGCGCATGGTCTAAAAGGGTTGAGTTTATTTTCTTAATGAGTTATAGGTGTGTTTTGAGAATAAACCAATTAGAGTCATCTCCCATTCCCTTTAAGACCCAGCTGCGTCGCACCAAGAGCGCATTCGCTATTTACAGGACGTAAAGTAAGTCTAAGTGGAAAAAATGAGCATTTCACAAGAAAACAGTTAACAGTTTTTTAACAGAAAACTGTTAAACAGAGCATCTACTGCGTGAGAATGAAAGATAAATGATCTACTTTCACATTCGCTCTTGGATAGGGAAACCTTTAAGCACAGGCATCAATTAGTCTATAAATAAATAATTTTGTTTGTTAAGCACAAATATTCGTTTCAAAACTATTTCTAAATTCAGTTCTAATTTCCAGCAAACGAATAAATGAATAGTAATAACAAAATGTGCTCAAAAACCTGAGTTATATCCTAAAACACCTGCTGTGCCTCATATGTTCTAAAACCTGACAGGTGGGCAAATCTAAGCTTGTTTTTAATAAAACAAATATAAATATGGATATAATAAATAATACTGCTAATAATAATAACATTATACAAAAGCAAATTGTTATGAATGAACAAAAAGCCTCCCGAGATAAAGACATAAAAGCAGTGATTTTTCATATTTATGTAGGCTAGAAAATAATATGTTTTGTAATATTTTAATCCTTTATATTTATATCCTATATCTATTCTTATTATATCCTATATATATATCCTTAATATTTAAATTTTTTCATATGTAAAGATATTTGCCTATTGCTCTCTTGTGCGTATTAAGCAGTGCGTAACTCTGCGCTGGAGTTTAGACCGGGTTTGTTTTGGTCTAATGAAAAATCTATTATAGTTTCTCAAAATAGCAACGCGCCAGCGGTCCACCTCAGAACGCCTTCCTTTTTAGACCAGAACGCCTATGGGCACACATATGAGCACTTGCTATTTAAACAGCGTAGCGCAACGCCTCAAAACCACTCTTGCGCCAAGCTGAAACTACCAAAAGACTATTGCGCCACGCCTTGCACCACACTGCGCAGAGTGTATGATAGGGCCCTTAAACTTATACATTATATTCGTTCAAACTACTAAAATGTCGACAAAAGTCACTTTGTTTACACTGTAGATTTAGATTTTTAACATCAGACATCAAAACAGCAAAGATCAAGGTCCCAATATGCATTTCAAAGCCGTAAATAAACAGTGAATCACAAAATACGGTAACAGTTAATTAGCAGATATCTTTTGCAGTGTAATTATTAATTATTTTAATGTGTGGACATATATCCATTAAATACAAGCTAGTAGCATTGGTTAGTGTCTTAGGGGTGTGTGTGGTGTGGGGGGATTATGGAGGCAGGTGGTACAGCCGCTTTGCGTTAATTCGCAGCTTTTTACCAGCTTCGCCAAACAGCAGGAGGCAGAATGAAGCTGCGGGGAACAGAAGGTGAGAGGAATACGACAGAGGAAAACACATCGATCCACTGAGCATGTTTGAGTGTCACTGAATGGAATATCCTTGAAACTGAAGCAAATTTGGCAAAAGAAAAAAGGTTTCTTTGTTGCAGAATGTGGTTCAGACAACTTAAAGGCTGTTTTATACTTCTGCGTCAAGCGCACGCATATGCTACGCTGCAGCCTACGCGTGAAGGTATAGCCCTCGCCTTGGCCGTGGGCGTCGCTAATCTTAAAAAATGTAATTACACATCGCAAAGACGCGTAGCGCAAGCTCTGTGATTGATCACGTCACTTCATAACTATAGCAGCCGCTTTTCGACTGAACTAAATTTATGTTTGATGTCTTGGTTATAGTATTTAGAGGGCCAGAACAAATTTCCTCGGGGGCCGGATTCGGCCTATGACCCG